GAACATTTCAATATTTTACAAATGCATATTGGATTTATGCTCACCTATGCATGTCATTGTTTCCATGCATAGGATTTTGAACGAATTCCGCTTCACATGAATACAAAAATATGTCTGTTAATAGCTTGTGAATCATTGACGCCCCCGTATGACAACAATACATTAGTACCCAGAGGAGGATATTCTCAGTGGAACTACAACTGTGAAATAGGAAAGTAGGCCAAGGTTAAAGTTTTTTCTTAAGTATGGAAATCTCCAAAGTCTAGGTCAAAAAGTCAGTGTAATTAGTATTCAACGAAAGGACTGGCCACAAAGAATTTCTAAGTGCAGTATAGAAGCCCTATCCCTAACCCTACAAAAGTTATGACCAAGGTTAAAAATTCTAAATTGCTGGTTAAAAACCATGGCCAATGTAAAAGGGTCAAAGTTCTTGATATCAAACGAAAGGTCTTTTCACAAGGATTAAATATTTAAAGCATGAAAAGACTAACACTAACCCTTTAAAAGTTTTGGTTGAGATTTGCTTTTTTAAAGGTCAAACTCCAAGGTCACGGTTAAAGAGTTAAAGTTCTTTTCACGAGGATTACATATGTGAAGTATGAAAGCACTAGCCCTTACTGTTCAAAGCTTATGGCCAAGGTTAAAGTTTTTTTCATAAGTACGGAAATCTTCAAGGTCAAAATGTCAAAGTTGTTGGTATCCAATGAAAGGTCTCTCCATAAATAAAACATATATGAAGAATTGAAGTCCTGGTGTCTACTGTTCAAAAGATATGGTCAAGTAAAAGTTTGGTATTTTTGTGTAAAAGTGGGTAAAATTCGAAGGTCAAGGTCAAATTTAGTGGTACCCTAAGAAATGTCTTGTCATAAGGAATATGAAATATGTAAGTCATAGCTCCACGTCCAAACAACTATATCTCACTTCTATTCTCAATGACCGTGTAGTGTAGGGCAGTGCTGTGAGAATTCCATCGGCATCGAAAGCAATTTTTGACTTGCCTAGATAGCTGAACGGTATAATACAGCTAGGAGATACATGTAGATTCCGTTGGTCGAGGGTTGCTTGGGAGGAAGAGGGTATCTTTAAAAAAGGGAATTTCTTTGTGCTTTCTATTTTAATATTTCTTCACCTAGGGCAGTTATATTAGGTTAAGACTTGTTGTTAATTGTGCTTTATAATTAAATTAATTTCATTACAACAGGTATTGGTAATGATCCTCTAGAACTAATGTCCAAATAACTATATCTCAATTCTATTCTCAATGATCCTGTAGTGTACGTAGGGCATCGCTGTGAGAATTCTGTCGGCTTCGAAAGCTAGTTTTTTGACTTGCCTAGATAGCCCAGCAGTCTAACGCGCTGTTTCTGTTCTGTTAGGATTCCGTAGGTCGAGAGTTCAACCCCGGGCTGGGGCTGATGTGGGTATCCTTATATAAGTGAGTTTCTTTGTATGACTGTATGAATTTAAATGAATACTTTGTTACCATGGTAATGTATGTTAAAGTTGATTTACCAAATATGTTTGTCATGAGTTTAGACAGCAGGGATTGTTTGAGTCAATGTTTTTGAGATATTTAGACCATTTACAATTATTTCGGGGGGGGGGGGGGGGGGTCTCAATTTGTCTTGACCTATATACTGCTAAATGTATCTTGACACATCCATGCCAAAAAGATTGTATAAATATATATATTGTAATTGGGTTTGAGGAAAACTTTCAAAGGTTTGGATTTTTGTTTGAAAGCAAAAGGGGGCTTTTTTTTTATTACTTACAGGAACCATGACCTGTATTAGGTCTCGTGTTTCAAGACAAAAATAATAGAATTCTCCATGGTTAAAATCTTATATATTTGATAGATATTTCCAAATTCAGTAGGTGGGAATGAATGGCAGTCCTGATGATAAAGATGGAATAAAGTGGATTTCTGTTGTAACAATTTAAATCCATTGACATTGTAAGACATGTGATTTCCTACACCACAGTAGCTTTAATATGAATCAAAGACCACGTGCGAATCAAAACTATGGTAAACAAGTTCCACCTCATAAATTCGTGAGCATGCTTGTTACCTCAGGGGTTGCAAAAATCTATCTAAAATTTTACAAAACGAGATAGTCTAGGCAAAATTGACAGGAAACTAAATGAATTAATAAAGTATTTGGAGGAAGTCAATGGAGTTATCCGGGTAGGTTAAGAAATCAGCCCCCATATCTTTTTATAATCCCCCCCCCCGCAATTGTCGTTTTCGCATCTAAACTTTTCAATTTTATAAATATTCTCTCGCACTTCAAAATATCATTTGCTGTTTCACAGCAACACTAACAGATTCATCAACTTCCAAACTAATCTGTGTTTTCTCCACAGAGGAACATTTCAATATTTTACAAATGCATATTGGATTTATGCTCACCTATGCATGTCATTGTTTCCATGCATAGTATTTTGAACGAATTCCGCTTCACATGAATACAAAAATATGTCTGTTAATAGCTTGTGAATCATTGACGCCCCCGTATGGCAACAATACATTAGTACCCAGAGGAGGATATTCTCAGTGGAACTACAACTGTGAAATAGGAAAGTAGGCCAAGGTTAAAGTTTTTTCTTAAGTATGGAAATCTCCAAAGTCTAGGTCAAAAAGTCAGTGTAATTAGTATTCAACGAAAGGACTGGCCACAAAGAATTTCTAAGTGCAGTATAGAAGCCCTATCCCTAACCCTACAAAAGTTATGACCAAGGTTAAAAATTCTAAATTGCTGGTTAAAAACCATGGCCAATGTAAAAGGGTCAAAGTTCTTGATATCAAACGAAAGGTCTTTTCACAAGGATTAAATATTTAAAGCATGAAAAGACTAACACTAACCCTTTAAAAGTTTTGGTTGAGATTTGCTTTTTTAAAGGTCAAACTCCAAGGTCACGGTTAAAGAGTTAAAGTTCTTTTCACGAGGATTACATATGTGAAGTATGAAAGCACTAGCCCTTACCGTTCAAAGCTTATGGCCAAGGTTAAAGTTTTTTTCATAAGTACGGAAATCTTCAAGGTCAAAATGTCAAAGTTGTTGGTATCCAATGAAAGGTCTCTCCATAAATAAAACATATATGAAGAATTGAAGTCCTGGTGTCTACTGTTCAAAAGATATGGTCAAGTAAAAGTTTGGTATTTTTGTGTAAAAGTGGGTAAAATTCGAAGGTCAAGGTCAAATTTAGTGGTACCCTAAGAAATGTCTTGTCATAAGGAATATGAAATATGTAAGTCATAGCTCCACTAAATCAAAAGATATGGTCAAGGTTAAAGTTTTTGAGGATCAACAGACAGAGAGACAGACAAAGACACATAGAGACAGACAAACAGACAGACGGACAAACAAGACAAAAGCTATTTATGGGGGCTTTATAAACTTTTTAATACATTAATGCATCAATTCAACAATTTACAATTAAAACATAGAACAAGAATCGTCTATAGTTCGTTTTTCTTATGGATCTTGGATATTTTGACCTTGTATAAAATCGAAATCAATTCATCAGATTTAAATCAATGTTTGAAAATTATAGTAGAATAAAATCTTGTTAAGCAACACTTTCAGTAAAATTCTATAGATATGAACCAAACCATAATTAACAAGAGCAAAATCAACAATTTGTCGATAATATAATAAAAAAAATAAATTTCTTATCTTGATTTTACCAAAATCAATAACTTAAAAACTTAAGATTTTTCGAATTTTCAACTCTATGCATAACTATTCTCCACAATAAATTAAAGCCCAGTCTTAACCTGGTCATTGTTCATTTGCAAAATTATTTTGTTGAGTTAACATTAAAAAGATGCTTGAGTTTCTGATTGACAATATCTTTGTGGTTTTTAGGTACCAATTGCGCTTCGTTGTTAGCAGACCTATTTTTGTATTCAAATGAAGCAGAATTTGCACAAAATCTTATGCATAAAAATAAGAAAACACTTGCTGTGGCCTTCAACTCGATATTTAGATATATCGACGGCGTATTATCAATTAACAATTATAATTTCTATTTCTATGTCGATACTATATATCTTTGGGAGCTTGAGATAAAAGATACCACAGAGTGTGACACATCTGTTTTATACTTGTATATGTTTTCTTGAAAAAGACATTAATGGTAATCTAACAACCAAACTCTATGATAAACGTGATGACTCTAACTTTTATATCGTCAATTACCCTCACCTATGCAGCAATATACCTTCATCGCCTGCATACGTAGTTTAGATATCTCAGTTGATTCGATACGTAAGAGCATGGTCTACGTATGAAAAATTTCTACAACGAGGTAAATTATTGAAAAACCAGTTTACGAAACAAGAATATCGACAGTCTCGTTTTAAATAATCATTTCGCAAGTTCTTTGGTCGATATAATGACCTGGTCAGCAAATACAATTTATCATTGAGTCAAATGCTGACTGACGTTTTTCATCCTGATTGTTAGTCAATTATTTATACACTGAATTGACGACAGAGTTTTCTCTTTTCATGACAAGGAGCACACGACTGGTCGGCAGGGTATGTTCACTCCTCCATAGCACCTGATCCCACCTCTGACGTTTTGGAGTTCCATGTTTGCTCTGCTCCTGTTTTGTATTCTTGATGGACTTTTGATCTTAAATACTGTTCCTAATTTTCATATGTTTCACTATTCACACATGATATCACAATGAACAAATGGGATTAAAATCAAATTAGGAATGTTGAATAATAAAAGAGGAATTCGTGACAAGTGGTAAAGTAATTTTATCAAAAGCTTGTGAAACGTAATATTTTCTGTAAATAATAACGTTTTATCATATTAGATTGTTTGAGAAAATACTTTTGGTATATACCGTATATATTAATTTCGTCAAAGGATAAAATTTTGAATTAAATTTGCTCCTTAATGTACCTGACGTATAATTGAAAGAAAATAAAGAAGTAAACCGTGAGTCTAAATAAAGTCACGTTTTATAGAGATTTATCGACTTACTTGTGGCACAAATTTCGCCATTCCAGAATGTATTCGTGGGATCTTTACATTGGCAGATGCTACCCAGGCATTGAAAACCATCTTTGCATTGTGATGAATTATTACAGTTGCTTCCATGTGTTTTTCCTAAATATAACAAAACAAATTAGGCAACCCAATCTTGTTTAACGGTATGTAGAAAAATAAGATAACTTTCATACAAATTGTACCGTTGAATAGCACTCGCTGCGTGATCTGATGGTTGTGTGTTCAAACCTTGGACATGACCTATTTAAGTCTGACTAAAAATAGGTTGCAATTATTTTTTCTCCAAGCTCTTGTAATTTTGAAGTGAAATTTCCTGGTGTTAAGCTCAAAGATTTAAAACCTAGGCCCTGTATCATTACTTTAAAATTGATTTGTTTGCAGGAGATGCAACTCTGCATTAGCCTTAAAGCAATGTACATAATATTGAAACACATTTAAATTCTGATTTATGTGCTCTTAAATACTAAAACTGATAAACAATTCGGTTCATATGAACCTGAAGCACTTTTGCAGCTCTGTTCTGCAGCATGTTAAAAAATCAAGAGGGTGTGTGTGTGTGTGTGTGTGTGTGTATAGAGCATTTATTACAAATGCCAAATGAGATTACATATTTTACAATTTCAGAATGCAGCAGAAGGTGGGGCCAAAAAATATCCCACACTTTATACTAAAGAAAACTAGTACATACATGTATATTTTCTACAACAATAACAATAGAAACCTTATACAAAAGAAACTAGTACATGTATTCTCTACAATAACAATAGGTATGGAGGATTTAGGGGGTGGAGGTGGGTAAAATTTGTAAACCACATTTTCGGAGCCAAAAGTTATTTTGATAAGGATAAGGCTAATAGCCGTAACTAAAGGGCTCTTAAGTATAAAACCCGGAAAATCCCTTCGGGACCCATGGATTCACACAAAATAGTGATTAATAAAATTATGCAATTTTGTACGTATTTATATTCATAAATACACTTATGTGCTCTTAAATACTAAAACTGATAAACAAATCTGAAGCACATTTGTTTGTGTGTGTATAGAGCATTTATTACAAATGCCAACTGAGATTACATATTTTACAATTTCAGAATGCAGCAGAAGGTGGGACCCAAAAAATATACCACAAGAGGGACAATGAATTTCAGAAATCAGTAAATCTGGTAAATGAATTCTTTAATGAGTCCCTCAATTCAAAAGCCAAAACAATTGAGAATAATTCCTGAGGGTAATTTTGTAATCCATTTTTTTTGGCCAATTAGGATCCATAGAACTTTCTATATCCTTTTTTTCTTTAAACAGACAATAACCATTACCCAAGAATCAGCTGCATGTGGAGATGCATGTGTTTTGATGTAACATGTATATGTTCAAATAACCATCATACCAAGATACAAACTGTTTGTTTAAATTTCATTGCATATATGTATAGCTTGTTTTAATTTCTCCAATTTCTCCGGCAGCGATGTATATTCATTGCCACTGTGTCACATTCAATTTCAAAATTACCAACTTTGTAGCTGCCCATAAAGTCTTTTATCCAACACGAGTAACGCAGAAAAAATATCCCTTGACTTTACAAATCCATTATAAGGCCACAGATTTTTTTTTTTCAAAAATTAGCACAAGACCTGGACAACCCAAGTGCAAACCTTATCACAGAATATGAGACTTTCCCATTTAAAGCCCAGAAGTTCATGATCCTCTTTGTGACTTGGTATATATGACAAGCTGAATATTTAGCATCTATTTCGGCAAAAAGGCAACTTTCCCCATGGAAACAATAATATTTACAGCATTATCCAGAATAAATCCAGAACAATTAATCATTACTTAGTATATATTTTTTAAATGAAAAGACTAGTGTTGTTTGAGTCTAAATTGAACATGTTCTTTCTTTCGAACAATACCAATTTGGAAAAATTAAAATTTTCAAAGGAGGGGCCGAATCAAAAAAGTCCAGCAATTTTATGAACATAATATCTTTCTGTACCTTGTAGCAATCAATGACTGAGTTGTGTAAAGAGAATATGAGATACTAAGATGGGCTGAAAGATATTGCATCCTGATGTTGTTAATCAAATCTATACTTAAATTCTGAAACAAGATATCATAAATAATGGCATCATGGCCCCTTAAAAATAAATATTTAAGGACATTAGGGAAAATAGGGGTAAAAACATAACTGCATTAGAAACAATATAAATACTCTCAACCAAGTAAGATTTGTAAACCACATTTTCGGAGCCAAAAGTTATTTTGATAAGGATAAGGCTAATAGCCGTAACTAAAGGGCTCTTAAGTATAAAACCCGGAAAATCCCTTCGGGACCCATGAATTCACACAAAATAGTGATTAATAAAAATACGCAATTTTGTACGTATTTAGATCACATAAATTCCTTTATATACATAAATACACTTACGTGAAATTGAAAATTGGTGTTTACAGAATCAAATGATTCGGAACACGGACAAATCAAAATGTATGCTTATGTGTACACAAAAAAAAGATCAAGATTAAATAAACAAATACTTGATGAAAACATTCTTGCAAAAATTTGGAAAACGTTGAAATAGGAAAACTCCTAGGTATTCAGATAGATCAATCTCGTCAGTATAATTGTCATGTTGATATAGTTTGCAGATCCTTAAGATACAAATATAGATTGCGCAGGTGCGTGCTAAAGGAGGATCTGACGGTCCTGTCTGGGTGTAATATCCCTCGGACGTGGTATCTCTTAGTCTTTCATTCGTGTTCCTAGCTGGTGGAGACGTACGTTTTAATGCTGCAAAGCCGATTGATGTTCACCAAATGCAGTTGTAACTTCCAGTTGCGTAGCTCTGGTTTATATAATTGTTAGAGCCTTGTTACGTTCATCATTGTTTAAGCGTGGCATTGCAGCATCAAAATTGCAATCAAAGCAAAAATATGGGTTCAATAACAGTGTTTATTGTTTGTCTAAATCCACAATTTCATTGAAAATAGACCCCCGATTTACAAGAAATATGATAATTAATAAAGGAAATAATTCAACAATAGGGGTATAAAAGCCCATGATATACTTTAGATAGTATAGGTCACAGGGATCCAATGATAAAAGGATAATCGTTTCACATACCTTTTCAAAATTTCTTTCATGAGTTAAACAATATGCGTTTCTTTTTTGTTGAGTATATAAACTTAAATTCAGCAGTTTGAGAAACATAAATATTCTGTCTTCTTACAAATTAGCGTAATTATAATCTACCGGAAAATTCAGGGTCGTACAACTTAGATCTGTTTACTTGTAGTAAATAGATTCTAAAATGTCACATGTACATGTCTCCATTGTACGGTTAACAATTTAATGGAATATGAGTTCAAAACAATTCTCAAAAGCAAAATATCATAACACGATAAATTAATAAGCATTAACATTTTAGTCTGCATTCAAACGAATTGAACAGAGTACAGATATTAACATTTCGTGCATTGGGGTCGAGGAAAGGAAAATCCACCAAACCATACGTTGTCGCGGGAAAATAATTTTCTGCAGTTTCATTATAATTTGTACGTCAAATATCAATGATTCTTATATGTTATTTAAGGAATGACTCTAATTCTTGGCCATATTATCGAGTATAATCTGGTTTGGGTCAGTTATACGCTTTATAATCCGCGAAGCGGATTATAAAAAAGCGTAAACTGACCCAAACCAGATTATACTCGATAATATGGCCAAGAATTAAAGTCATTCCTTATAATTTAATTTTAAAATAATTAAACAACTTTTGATGTAAAATTGTGTTGCTTTTTATAAGTTCAAATTTACCGCGCAATAATACAACCGTAGTAACGGAAGTGATTTGAAGCGAGGGGAGGTAATAACTGATACATAGATCTAGCAGCCATGATGTTTGTTTACATGAGGTAAGAACGAGTAATTGTTTATAGTTGAAGGTACATTTATTAAATCTTGAATTTTCCATGGATTCCGAGGACTGGAAATGAGGGGATTGCATGGATATGATGATTAAGCTGGTCGTCAAGGGGGTGTGTCCCCATACCAAACCAGATTATACAAAATGTTATGCGTTCCTTTTTGGAAATCAACCAATGAGAGGCGAGAATACAAATAAAATTAAATTATATGTGAATATTTTTGTTGAGTTTACATTGATTATTTTGTAGATACGAGAAATAATAGGATGTATCAACAAACATGTAGAATAAAAGCTTCTCGAGGCCCGCTTGAGTGTCGCAGAGATCCCGTTCCTTCTTCATCCAACGATTATATTAATCTCCAAACTAATTATTTGTCAGGAAAGTCGCTTTTTAAACTCCTATTCTGTTTCTTTTTCACTTTGGTCGACATTGTCGATGTAGCAGGCCTACCAGACTCTCTTACCCTGCTTTTTTGTTTATGAAAGTACCGGTACGCGTGCGTACAAAGCATGGATATGGAACTCGAACACGTTGCAATGTGGATATATATGACCATAAATTGTAATCAATTTAATGAAATAATCAGAATCATTCACTCTTGAAACTTATTATTTTTTTAATGAATCTAAATTTATGAGTAGTAAAATATTTCCAAATCCTATGGGAAAGTTTAACAAGTCTATTTTTGAAGACATGCGAAGTACTGTCACTTTAAGGTGAGAGTGGATTATATTTTTAAACATTTATGGAATGGATCTTTCACGTCCAGCATTTATCTTAAGATTTTGTGCAGAGGATGGGACATTTGTTTATTAACAAAAAAATCGTTTGGATGTTGTTAAATTATTATTCATTAGGATATTACATGTTTGTCTTTTTTTTCATTGGAATTGTCATTTCCAAATATCATGTGATGAAACTTCAAATTTGTGGACCTGTTTAATTGACACATCCTTGCATTTTCACAAATTATAATTTTATTCTTAGGGCGAAAGAAAAGCGGCAATGTTTTGATTATTAATATAATACAGAAAATTCAGAATAGAAATGTTTGAAAGTAAAACACCCTCACAAGTATCGTCATTCCATGTTTAATGTTCTGTACAGAGTTTAACAAATTGAATTCACCCGTGAAATATAAATTCACTGGTTTTGTAATTAGGACTCGAGCTCAGTTAATTATTGTTAATGTTTACGGTTCACCGGGTGCGTTCAATTATGAAACTCTGCACATACAACTGAGCATGGGCTGACAACATACCTTGAGTGCGTTTTCCTTTCGAACATTTTTACTTTGAATTCTTTAGATTATATTGCCACTTTTCTTAAGTATTAAGAATAAATAATTTGTGAAAGTGCAAGGATCTGTCAATCAAACACGACCAGAAATTCGAATATTTTTCAACAAAATCGAAATGAAATACCATTTTTATTATACTTTCTTATAAAATGCTATTGTTATATATAAGCTGTAATATCATACAGAAAATTTGAGAAAAAATTAACTTTTAATCTATGTCTTTGCACTTTAACGAGATTAATCGACTTACTTGTGGCACAAATTTCGCCATTCCAGAATGTATTTGTGGGATCTTTACATTGGCAGATGCTACCCTGGCATTGTAAATCATCTTTGCATTGTAATGAATCATTACAGTTGCTCCCGTATGTTTTTCCTAAAAATAACAAAACAAATTAGGCAACTCAATCTTGTTTTACCGTATATAGAAAATTAGAATAACTTTCATACAAATTTCACCGTCTCTCTACGTAATCAGATTGTCGTGTGTTCAAACCTAGGCTACGAACTACTTAAGTTTGATTTTAAAATAGGTTGCAAATACTTTTTCTCCAAGCTCTTGCCATTTTGAAGTGAAATTTGCTGGGGTTTAGCACGAGACCTTCAAAAATTGAGGCCCTGTATCATGACTGGCATTCACACAAAAACACCAATCACAGATCAATGCTCCTGTTGCTAAGTACTTTTAACGGCAGTGCATTGTTTAAAATGTTGATCCAAAGAATTCAATCAAGAATTTTTTCCCACTATGTTTATGATTTTAACATATTTACCTTTCACTTGATCTCTTAATGATTTTACTTTTAATGAACCTCAAGTTAACTCCCTTCCCCGCAGTCACGCATTTAATGCAAATACAATTTCCTATTCCTAACGCAAAATTATGCATATAAAGTTTGCCTGCAATCAGGCATTTTCACGCACTTTAAACAGTTCATGTTATTTTCAATTTTTTGCCAAATTCCTTCTATTTTATACTTGCTTAAATCTCATAGAACACGAAAAGTTATTTGTGTATTGAAGCAATATGAGCTGCATTTTAAAAATTTCATTTTGCTGGTAAAATGTGTAATTATGATTAATCTGCATTTAATCTAAACCCTTATCATGAATAAACTCAAAATCAAGTTTAAAAATGTTTCTGAAGAAATATCTCTGTACAACCGAATATACAGTATTATATAAGAAATCATTACTGTACAGGACGACAATAATTCAAGTTTGCTTCAATCAAAGCGTATAACAAGTTCTTTCATAGCAAATATGAACAACAGAAGTTTATAAATGTTCTATTTTTCTGTCATTGAAATAGTTAATTACAAATTTGCAAAAAAATTTCCGATGTCAAACATGCAGCTCATATGCCTTTAAAATACCACGTCAGTATATTATTTACGCTAAAGTTTAGATAAACTTGTACAACGCTATAAAGTGCTTGCACAGAAATGGTAGCGTCATATTTCTATGACGTGAACATGAAGTAAATGTTACATAACAATCAATAAGTTGTAAAGAGTTAAACGTCAAGCTAGACGTACAGGTATTGGTCAGGTACTGACTAATGTATACATGGTATTTAATTTGGTCCATTATCTTTTACCACCCCTGGGACCCCATTGCAGTCAAAATATCTATTAAAAGTCATTACGTGTGTTTTTCCATTCTAATTTACTCTATAAATCAATAAGGATTAATGTATACTCACCAAAAAAGAAATGCATATTCAGATTAAACATAATAATCAAAGTTTTCAGTTTAAACCTTAATTTTTAAAAGTGATTTTTGAATGTGTTGTGATAAAAATCAATCAGGTCGTCCTTTTTTCCAGATTGACAAGTTAAGTTAATGTCACTAACGTCGCCTCCAAATTCTAGAGGAATACGTCTTAACCAATCCATATGTCCTTTTGTCCCTTCACAGAGCTAGTAGATTTCAAATGTTTGGACGCCGTGGACGAATACCAGCTCCTTTTAATCTCTTCGAACAATATGTGCACTTTATGCTAATTTCAGCAGTTTGTACAGCAGTTCTGAGTCGATTTAAAGAAGGATCTGACGGTCTTGTCTGGGTGTAATATCCCTCGGACGTGGTATCTCTTAGTCTTTCATTCGTGTTCCTAGCTAGTGGAGACGTACGTTTAAATGCTGCAAAGCTGATTGATGTTCACCAAATGCAGTTGCAACTTCCAGTTGCGTAGCTCTGATTAATATAATCGTTAGTGCCTTGTTACGTTCATCTTTGTTTAAGCGTGGCATTGCAGCATCAACATTGCAATCAAAGCAAAAATTTGGGTTTAATAACACTGTTTATTGTTTCTCTAAATCCACAATTTCATTGAAAATAGACCCCCGATTTACAAGAAATCACGCAAAACATAATTTTCATAAACATGATTAATAAAAGAAATAATTCAACAATAGGGGTATAAAAGCCCATGATATATATTAAAAAAGTATAGGTCACAGATATCCAATGATAAAAGGATAATTGTTCCACATACCTTTTCAAAATTTCTTTCATGAGTTAAACAATATGCGTTTCTTTTTTGTTGAGTATATAAACTTAAATTAAGCAGTTTGAGAAACAAATATTCTGTCTTCTTACAAATTAGCATAATTATAATCTACCGGAAAATTAAGGGTCGTACAACTTAGATCTGTTTACATGTACCACATAGATTCTAAAATGGCACATGTACATGTCTCCATTGTACGGTTAACAAATTAATGGAATGTGAGGTCAAAACAATTCTCAAAAGCAAAATATCATAACTCGATCAATTAATAAGCGTTAACATTTTAGTCTGCATTCAACCGAATTGAACAGAGTACAGATATTCACATTTCGTTCATTGGGGTCGAGGAAACGAAAATCCACCAAACCATACGTTATCGCGGGAAAATAATTTTCTGCAGTTTCATTATAATTTGTTCGTCAAATATCAATGATTCTTATATGTTATATGTGCATATTTTTGTTGAGTTTACATTGATTATTTTGAAGATACGAGAAATAATAGCAGGTATCAACAAAAATATAGAATAAAAGCTTCTCGAGGCCCGCTTGAGTGTCGCAGAGATCCCGTTCCTTCTTCATCCAAAGATTATATTAATCTCCAAACTAATTATTTGTCAGGAAAGTCGCTTTTTAATCCTTATTCTGTTTCTTTTTCACTTTGGTCGACATTGTCGATGAAGCAGGCCTACCAGACTTCCCCCTCTTACCTTGCTTTTTTTGTTTATGAAAGTACGCGTGCGTACAAAGCATGGAATGTGGAACTCGAACACGTTGCAATGTGGATATATATGACCATAAATTGTAATTAATTTAATGAAATAATCAAAATCATTACTCATGAAACTCATTATTTTCTTAATGTGTCTTAATTTATCAGTAGTAAAATATTTCCAAATCCTACTGGGAAATTTTAACAAGTCTGATTTTGATGACATGCGAAGTTCTGTCACTTTAAGGTGAGAGTTGATTATATTTTTAAACATTTATGGAATGGATCTTTCACGTCCAGCATTTATCTTAAGATTTTGTGCAGAGGATGGGACATTTGTTAATTAACAAAAGAAACTTTTGGATGTGGATGTTGTTAAATTATTATTCATTAGGATATTACATGTGTGTCTTTTTTTCATTGGAATTGTCATTTCCAAATATCATGTAATGGAACTTCAAATTTGTGGACCTGTTTAATTGACACATCCTTGCATTTTCACAAATTATAATTTTATTCTTAGGACGAAAGAAAAGCGGCAATGTTTCGAGTATTAATATAATACAGAAAATTCAGAATAGAAATGTTTGAAAGTAAAACACCCTCACAAGTATCGTCATTCCATGTTTAATGTTCTGTACAGAGTTTAACAAATTAAATTCACCCGTGAAATATAAATTCACTGGTTTTGTAATTAGGACTCGAGCTCAGTTAATTATTGTTAATGTTTACGGTTCACCGGGTGTGTTCAATTATGAAACTCTGCACATACAACTGAGCATGGGCTGACGACATACCTTGAGTGCGTTTTCCTTTCGAACATTTTTCCTTTGAATTCTTTAGATTATACTTAAAATATATTTCATTCATATACAACAATATGGCCACTTTCCTTAAGTATTTAGAATAAATAATTTGTGAAAGTGCAATTTAAGGATCTGTCAATCAAACACGACCAGAAATTCGAATAATTTTCAATAAAATCAAAATGAAATACAATTTTTATTATACTTTCTTGTAAAATGCTATAGTTATATATAAGCTGTAATATCATACATTAAAATTTGAGAAAAATTTAACTTTAAATCTATGTCCTTGCACTTTAACGAGATTAATCGACTTACTTGTGGCACAAATTTCGCCATTCCAGAATGTATTTGTGGGATCTTTACATTGGCAGATGCTTCCCTGGCATTGAAAATCATCTTTGCATTGTAATGAATCATTACAGTTGCTCCCATGTGTTTTTCCTAAAAATAACAAAAGAAATTAGTCAACTCAATCTTGTTTTACCGTATGTAGAAAAATAAAATAACTTTCATACAAATTGTACCGTCTCTCTACGTGATTAGATTGTCGTGTGTTCAAACCTTGGCTACAAACTA